CGAGAGGCTGCGCAGGAGGTGCCGCGGCGCGGGCCCTGCCGCCCGCCCCGGGGGTCGACATCGTCACCCATTCAGAGGACAGCAAGATCTGGGCGGGAAAACAAAAGTCACAAAGAAATTTGTTTGCCACCATGCAAAATGGCGGCACTTAAACATCTTTCTTGTGGTGGTGGCCCTGGCCAGAGAGCCCGGAGCTGCCCTAGGTTTAGCGCGGTGCGTCCTAGAGCTCGGCGGCCGGGGGCAAGCGAGGGGGAAAGGGACCCTGAAACCCCCGCGGCCCCCAAGCCGGCCCTTAGCCCGCAGCCCATCGCGCGATCAGCCGGCCCCTGCCTTCCCTCCCAGCCCGCCAGGCCCCAAGCCAGCGCCAGCAGCCCCCGGCCACTGACCGCTGTTTACAAACACAGCCTGAGGGCGGGGTGGGCCGGCCGGAGCGCTGGCTGGCGGGGTGGGGGCGGCCGCGCGCCCCGGAGGACGCCACCAGCAGAGAGGAACGAGGAGTTGGTGCGAGCGAGCGGGCCCGGCAGCTGGAAAGGACTGAACGCCTTGTTTTTGAAACTGTCAATTCCCTCAACCCCTATTGTGAGGGCTTCATGCAAAACATCTCAGGCCTTTTAAAGTAGGAGCTTGTGAGGCCGCCACAGTTTGAAAAGGAGCGAGAGAAGAGCGGCGGCCCAGGGCATGGGCGAAGAATGATAGCTGAGCCCCCCTAAGCCCTCCCCACCTACTCTGTGTTTTTTTTTTTTTCTTTTTTGCAAAGGAGGGCCTGCCAAACAGGTAAAATACAGCCCTCCCCCACCTCCTAGATCTGCCTTACGTCCCCATCCCCCAGGCTAGTTTGCAAAATGCCCTTTGGCCTAGGGAGCAAACCAAAACCAAAGCTAGCATCAAAAATAGTTCTTCCTTACAGGGAAGGGGAAAATCCTGGAATGACTGGGGTGACCGGGTGGACTCGCTAAGGTGGATGCCCTGTTCCTCCTTGCCAATTTCCTGAGGTTAGTTGATGGGAAGCATTTTTTTTTTCCCTTCCTAGTTTGGCTCTAGGAACTCCTTCTTTTTACATCCTTCCCAGCAGGAAGTTATTTTTAAGGTGAAGCAAAACTCACCACATTTTCTTTATTTTTTTAGATGCTAATGCTTTATTTAAAAAAAAAAAAAAAAAAAAAAAAAACTTTACCATGAAGGATTTTTGTTTTTGTTTTTGAAAGAAAAAAAAATGCTTTTGAGGAATTAGTTTCTACATCTCTTCCTGCATGCAAACAAAACTGTCATTCTCATATCAGCAGAAACTCCCAATTTTTGTTGATTAGAACTTTGAGGAATTTCTAGACCATTGAAAATCACCCAGACACACAAAAGATAAAAATCCAACACCAGCCCCATGTAGTTTGTGTTATTGTTGTTTAGTGGTGGCTCCTTGTTGATTTTCAAATAAACAACCATTATTGAGATTACTCCACTGTAATCAAGTAAGCCAGTAGAAAAGAACACCCACTTTAAAAAGTAAATAGTTGAAAAAGAGCAAGCTGCATTTTCTATAAAGGCGGATAACCTAACTGTGGAAGACAGAGTACACACATCTCTTTAAAAAAACTTAAATTTTCATTTCACAGTCTTACCAGGAAATCACTTTTATAGGAGACCAAAAATAAGTTTGTTAACCCAAAAAGTTAGAAAAAGAGCCTTTTCCTGCTTTTTTCCCTCATGTCTCTAAATGTTGGATTTTAGACACAGGAATCAGTCACCCTGGAGCCATATAGTGCTTGTTTTTTTGTTTGTTTTTAATTCTATGCCCTGAAAACATCTAAATGTAAAAATGTAATCTATCAATGGAGTTAACTTGTTTTTCTCTCAATAAGGCTTAACTTTCTGAACAAATGGGACATTTATAGCAGCTTAGAGAAGTCTAGATATTGTCATTAATCATAAAACAACCAAAATAATATAAACAGTACTGAGAATAATTCCCACATCAGAATGGGGAAACAACTAAAGGGCTAGCAGGAATTGAAAGAATACCTTGTATTTGCAAGTTACTGCATACTATTTGGTACTCTTTCCTTACGGAAGCACTAACTCAGGTTTTGCTGTGGTTGGCTGGCTTATAGTAGTACTGTGGGGTGAAATTTGTGTTGACTATTTAATTTCTTTCCTTTTGATGGTATCACCCTGGAAAGCCTCGGCCTCCATGCTGTTCATTCTCCAGCTCCTATAAACTGAAACTATTGATTCTATGAGGGTTAGAGACTAAGTGTCAAAGCTGCAGGCCAATATTTTATGTCAGAAATTCCATAGGGTATATTTGTTTTAAATTATGCTTATTCCATCTTACAGTCCTTCCACACCCAAAATCTGTAGACTTCAAATATATTCTCGCTTTATAATTTAGGAACAATGAGTCCTTAGCCAACTAGAGAAGTACTAGTGTACATGTAGTAGTCACCGTACTTTGAACTTTCTTAACTTAGAAGTAATTAAAGAGTAGAAATTACACACTTCCAATGTGTGTGTCACACTTTTTACCAGATTGATTTTTCAGGACAACTTACTGCACCTAAATTCTGTATTGCCTTCCAAAGAGAAAAGAACTCAGACTATAAAGCCAATTGTTTAGCTTTCTGGGGCTTTAACTATAACATGGACTGGTCTTTGGAATTATATACAAACAAGAATTCAAGGATACCATCCCCAAATTTTTACTTTGACCATATCTACCATTCCAATAAAAAATAATCCAGTGAACCTACACCTGGCATGGCAACATTCAAGAAGGAAAGAAAGGAAGGCAGTTGAAAGCATCTGTTTACTCCATCCAAATATATTTGGATGCAGGTATTCTCAGCCTCAGTCCTTTACAATAAGAGGAAAACCACACAGCATATTCAGCAATTAGGGGCTGAGACCATCCAGATCTATCTGAAACATTTATAGACAAAAGGAAAATTTCAAAGGGAATAGGAACTAAAAGGTTAAGGAAAAACAAAAACAATAGACTGAATTTCCATGAGAAATAGTGACTTAAATTCACACAGTAAACATTTCATTGGTGTTTTGTTTTGTTTTGTGATTTATGATCTATAGATGCAACTTCTTAGATTCAAGATAGCAAGGATCTGAGATACATAAGTTGTCAGACTAAAGGAGGTGGGCCAGAAATTATTAGATTCAACTTTCATTAAAACAATCACTGATCTCTGCTTCACTTTCTTAAGCCTGAAACTTTTCCTACTTGATTTGTAACAAGTTTGTAAAGTTTTGTTGTTACTTAGAAAGAAATCCACCAGTGTTTTGCACAGAACCTGACTGGCCTCGGTCACATAGTATCACAACAAAACACTACACCCAATAAATGCATTTCTTTCAGGTAAAAACATTACAAGTGAAAATGTCAACAAAACCATTCAATCCTGTTAACCCTTCTTCAATCTGGAATAAGTAGAAATGTATGGAACCAGGAATTTTAAACAGTGTTTTTAATTGAAAATAAAGCTAAAGCATGCTTTTCAACAGTGCAAATTTCCATAATTTTGATTTACTGCTTCCATCATCACAACACAGTACACCAGCATGGCCCTTATCCAGGGCTAGACCCTAGCATTTGCATGTTGAACTACTTTGATTTTAAGTGCAAATATAGATAGTCACCTCTGATTGTCACTTGCAGTAGAAACTCTCCTGCTCTATACACAGGATGGTCTGAAAACAGAAGTTTTAGAGAGATGCAGAAAAAATATAAGGTAATAAAATCCAAGTGCCTGAGTTCTGGTACCAAAAAGCCCTGAAAAAACTGTTATTTTTCATTTGGGGTATTGCAACTCTGACCTCTCATTTTCTTTTTCTTGGTTGTATTTACTGATTTGTCACTATCAAGAGTTCAACCATAAAATATTCTGCTATTAAGAGAAATATTTCAGCCCCGGCATGGTGGATCACACCTGTAATCCCAGCACTTTGGGAGGCCAAGGCAGGCGGATCACCTGAGGTCAGGAGTTCGGGACCAGCCTGGTCAACGTGGTGAAACCCTGCCTCTACTAAAAATACAAAAATTAGCCGGACATGGTGGCGCGCACCTGTAATCCCAGCTACTCAGGAGGCTGAGGCAGGAGAATCATTTGAACCTGGGAGGTGGAGGTTGCAATGAGCTGAGATTGTGCCACTACACTCCAGCCTGGGCGACATAGCGAGACTCTCTCCTAAAAAAAACAAACCAAAAAAACCATATATATATATATATATATATATTTCAATTGTTTTGGGAGTTTGAAGAGTCATGTTCAGACCACAAGATAAGCAGGACTATAGTAAGAGTCACCTTATTTAAAACCTTTGGGTGAGAACACAAAACGGACTTTTCCAATTGCAAGGAGTGGCTTTAAAAGTAAAATCACACCCTTTACAAAAAAAATACAATTCCATATTTATTTTACTCAGTATGTATGAGGCAGCTTTTACTAGCATTTAATCAGGACTCACACCCCAATCTTTCCACTAAAAAAAAAAAAAGTTAAGTGCAACTACTCTTGAAGAGAGAATGAGGGGAGTCAAAAGAAAAAGATACCCCACAAACAAGAGCTCCAGAAAATAACATTTTGGGCTCACAGAAACTTCTTGCTACCTCACCTCACCTCACTGTGTAACCATGTAACCTAACAAACTTTCACTGAATTAACAGTTACACTTTCAGCTCTGAAATCTAGTGCATAAACTTAATGGCTCATTGTAATATTTATTATTCAACCTTTTGACATTTATTTGTAGCAGTTGAATTGAGGTACCGGGTGCATTATTAGCATTGAAACAGTAAAGTGTTCCAGCTCTACGGTAATAACTGAGTTTTACTTGAGTCTTTAGCCTGAAGTAGTCTGTGGAATGTAAACCAACCCTTCTCCCACCCCACCCCCACCCTACTCCAAAAAAAAAAAAAAAAAAAAAAAAAAACCCACAACAGAAAAAAAGTAATCCGATTTCTGTCTTCAAAATGCGATAAACCAGGACTCCAAAGGGGGTGTAACACATTAACGGACTTGTACAAACCATCCTGTGCAGTTTACAACAAAAGGAAGGTAATATGCTTCAAGAAAATATCTTCCAAAACATTTTTATGAATTAAATTTCCTGAATTTGTGACTAGGTGGAAGAGGTATTGCAGAACCGCCCAGCTGCCATTTCCATATAGGATGGGCCTTGTGAGGAGTTTGAGAATCCTTAGTGGTGTTTAAGGAATACGCCGGCCACAAGTCCCCATCTCTCCCAATAATGAGTGATGGTGGACAAGGAAAATTTGCCATGAAATTAAATGGCCTTTTCACTGCTGATGCTACATTGCTGGCTACCTTTTTGCGTCTGTTTATAACTGTAAAATCATCCAGTGTTCCTTCATGTGTCTCAGTTTTACCTGTAGGACGAGGGCTTCTAGCTGATTTCAAATTTGGTTTGACTGGAGGTGTCTGAAGGACAGGTCGCTTTCCCAGTACTAGTGTCCGGTAATTTTTTCTTACCCTGGCACCAAATTTATATTCCCCATCCTCAGGTTTTGGAGAACCTAAAGTGCATGAAAGGCCCTGACTTTGAGCCAGTGGATTTAAGGAAGGAGTATCTTTCTCAGGGCATGCAAAACCTTCCTTGGCTGTGGTTAACAAGGCGTCCTCCTCTTTACTCTCAGTCACACTGTAAAACTCACCCTTTGTATCATTGCACTCGCACTTTAGCTTATTTGTAAAAAGGTGAGGTTCATATTCTTCATTAGCACTACTGTCTTCTACTTTGATTTTAATATTGTGCAGAAATGGCAATGTCTTGTCACCTGTGTCAGTGCAGGGATTCTCGGCTTTAGTTGCTGCTGCTCCTGCAGCGTTCACTTCAGGATCAGTCTGCGAAGAGGGCAAATCCGTAGCAAATTCAGGACAATGAAGGATTTTGGAATCTTTTTCTGAATTTGCTTCTGCTCCTGAAGAATCATTATTTAAGAACCTAGCAGCTATTGTGTTGTTATCTGCACAGTGTGTAGTAGGAGTTGCTTGTAGGCATTTCCTAGCCTCTCGGAGTATTCTTTGTTGTGGAAATGCATTGTTTGTCTTTGGGCTAGGTGAAGAGGCCCCCTCTGCCAGGCAGTTAATTGTCAGGTCAGTTCTCTTTACAGTATTGGAAATTTCAGAGTGTGGGAATGTAATCTCAGATACCCTATCGTTCCTTATCTCTGCGAAACAACTCCCCAGGCTGGCCGGGCAGTACACCGGAGACGCTTTGGGGGCCCAGCTCTGCAGATTCCACTCCTCCGGCGACTCCGCTTTGACACTACTCTTGAGGTCGGGAAGTCTGCCGGCATCCTCGAAAGCAGCGGGTTTGGTTGCAGCGGCGGCAGAGGCCAGATGGTACAAGAAGTTGGCCTGCGCCTGCACGCTGGGAGGCTTGCAGAAGCTGGTACGCCTGAATCGGATGCTCTGCACTGACACTTGGCTGGAGCCGGAGCTGGAGTCCGACTCGGTGGACGAGTCTTCCTCCTCCGAGCTGACTTCACTGGAATCCGAGGCCCCGCTGCCCCCCTCCTCCTCCTCCTCCTCTTCCTCCTCCTCCTCTCCCTCCTCCTCCTCTTCCTCCGAGGACACAGAGTTGCTGGAACTGGACAAACTGGAGCCAAAATCCGAGTCGTTGGCCGCGTGGTCCGAGTAGGAGCTGGACTCGGAGTCGCTGCTGCAACTCTCGGGAAAGCTGCCCAGATGGGGCTGCGGCCGGTGGTGGTGAGGGGGGTGGTGACTCTGCTGCGGCGGCTGGGCCCGGTGGTGGTGGTGGTGGTGGTGATGGTGGTGGTGGTGGTGGTGGTGCGGAGGCGGGCAGAAACCGTTGACCAGATGAAACCTCTCCAGGCAAGTGGCCCCGGCGGCAGCCGCAGCCGCTGCCGCCGCCGCCGCCGCCGCCGCGGCCGCCTTGGCTTTGTAGGACCTGGGCAGCAGCAGCAGGCGCCGCGCGCCGGTGTGGGGCGCGAGCAAGCAGTCCTTGGTGCCGCCGCGCTTGCGTTTGCAGCGGTAGCTCAGGCTTCCCGGGCCTCTGGCGCCCGCCGCTGCCTTGGGCTGGGGCCCGGCCGCGGATGCCTGGTAATAGGCGGCAGCGGCGGCGGCGGCGGCGGCGGCGGCAGCGGCGGCGGCGGCGGCGGCGGCCGGGTGCTTGCTGCACAGCAGGCTCCGAAAATAAGCCGGGTCCGAGGGGAAGGCGACGTAGTTTCCCTGGAGCGGGGCAGTTTCATAGTTTAGAGGGGGTTTGCAGGGCGAACGCACGATCTCCGGGTAGTGCGAGCCGGGGTATTTGCTAAAAATCTGAGGTAGATGGGCGGCGGGGCGCGCGGCGGCGGCGCCCGGGCGCGGGGACTGCGCGCTGATTGGCAGGGGCCGCGCGGCTCCGCTCAGGCCCCGCCAAAGTTGGTGCTTGTCCTTCCAAAATCCCGGGCGGGGGCTGGCGGCGGCGGCGCGCTCTGGCGGCGGCGCCTTTGTGGCCAGGGCCCGGCCGACCCGCCTGCGCTTGGTCTTGAGGACGCGCTCGGTTTTGCAGGAGGTGTAGAGCGCTTCCACGTCTTCCCGGGAGATGAGTGTGCATTTGGCTGCGTGGAAGGCGATGCTGTTGATTGCCTTGAGTTTCCGCAACTCCTCCAGATCGCAGTGGTGCTTCTTCACTTTCAGATGATCCATGCGCTTGTGCACGGTCGTCCTCGGGATGTTTTTCAGCAGATCTGTGAAGACTTGGGAGAGAGCAAACATTTGCTTCCCTTTAATGATGAGGTAGCCGAGCCTCACGCCATCCACCTCTTCAAAACCTGACTTCAGGTCTCCCATCTCGGGCACTAAATGATCCCCACCATTTGCAGTAAATATATACGTGACGCATACATACACATGTATGTATGTTAATCCTCCGCCAGATGCTGCGTGTGTCTCAAGGCATCCTGCTAATAAAATAACAAAGACTGTTATTCCCGGCGAAGGAAGTGCCAAACTCTAGGCGAAATTATTGGGGGGGGGGAACCCCATGAAATTACACTGACTTGATTCTTGCTTTTTTGTTGTTGTTGTTTTCGTTTTTTTAAAAAAGAGGGAAAAAACCATCCGGTTTCTGATCTGCCAGTGTGTTGGTCTGAGTCCCCGATGCAGATCAGTACCTGGGCCCCTCTATTCCTTCCTTCTCCATTGGAGCACTATGATAATGGAATGTGAAGGGAGAAAGAGAAAAGAAATGCAGCTGCTATTCCCGCCGCTGCTTTAGCTACAAATAAAATGACAGAGTGAAGTGAGCTCGTCCGGAGACACCTTCATCAATTAATTCCCCTAAAGCCAGCGCTGATTGGACACTCCTGACAGGTGATGCAATAAAAATTGATATTCCACCCCTTCCCCCCAAAATCTCCCACTAATTAGCATACCCTTATACTGCCACCTCCCCTCCCAAAGTAAATAATACAGTCGGTATATAAATCTTTCCATTAAACTATCGGAGCTCAGAAACAGCCTGACTCACAGACTTCATCAGAAGCAGTGTGTGTACGGTTAAGGAAGAAAAAAAAAAACCAAAAAAAAAAAAAAAAAAAAAAAAAAAAACCCGCACCGTATATTCGCCTTTAAAGAAATACTGCCTATTTTTTCCTTTATTTGCATTTTACCGATACAGCTATTATCATTTCAAAGAAAAGCATTTAAAAAACATTATCAAGCCGAAAGAGATATACCCCACCCCCTTTTCCTTTTGGAAAATGGAGCTTAAGCGAAAATGTGCAGAATAGCCTGGTATTTCCCTTACAGGAGTGGGGAAGAAGACCGGCTAGGAGCTCCAAAGTTAAACCCGCCCCGTGAACCACCCCAGTGCGGACTTACGTTTGGAATTTCTCTCGATTTTCCTTTTTTTTTTTTTTTCCCCCTGAAATGCCTTTTTACAACCAGAAACAAAGTTATTTGACCAGGGAAGCAGTTCAAGGCTCCAGCTCTGAAACACTGTAACAATTCAACTGGATTTCGGTTCTCTGCTGGGGGGTGGGGTGGGGAGGAGGTAGTTTCACGTCAGACCCATAACAAAGCATAGATAAGCCAGAAATGTGTACACTTTTCCACAATTAACCGTACTGGATTGGAGGCGGGATCGTCCAAGAGTCCCCAGCAAAGCCTTTGCCAGGGTCCTGTTCACCACAGGTCAGAATTCCAGGGAGCAGATTGCTTCCTTCTGCAGCAAAGAAAAGAAAATGTCAAACGCCCAAGGTGCTTCCAGAGGTTTTACGTAATAACAATGAAAAGAAAGTGCTGATGTACGATGCAGACTGTTTCAGTGGTTTGTGATGCTTTGGGTTGGTAGTTTAGGTGAATCTTCCACAACTCCCAGTTTTTCCATCAAAGTCAAGCATCTGCTTTTACAAAATCACTTTGGAGGAAAATCAATGTGGTTTAACCTCTTCTTAGTCAAATTAAGGCATATTTTGGTGTCATTTTCAAGGATATCCAAAATATTGCCAAATGAGAGCAAGGGTCCTCCCAGTCGCATTACCACGATCCCAAGGCGGCTCGTTGGCTGCTTTGCAAAATTCGGCAAAATCTTCTTAACTGTTCGGTGTTTGCAACTACAACATAAATGCAACCCAGGCATTTATGTGTTTCCTTGTTCCTCCAAAAATAGACACATCCGCGTGATTAAAAGAATAAACGGATATTTCTGAGCCTGCAAGAAAAAAAATTATACAATAATTTCTTTCTTCACATTCAAAAGTTCCAGCTTCCTCTGCTCTGGTCTGGCTGGCACGAGCAGGTATGGCCCAAAAAAGAAAACAGAAAGATAAAAACAGAGGAATCAGACATACAAAAAGGTAGTTTGCTTGACAAGATGAAATCTCGGCCATAATTCCCCACCCCCACCCTCATCTCCTTTGTAATTTCCCAGGAATTTTGAAGAGAATTGGGAATTTCAAGAAGTGCATCCGGAAATTAAGGAAGTCTATTTAAGACAGTCTGTAACTCAGGAGGTTGGGATTTGAAAAGTCAGCCCCTGAACTACTTTTGCACTCAGCACAGATGTAATCGCCGCTCTTCAACTTAATCAATGTGTGTACAAACCGCGATGTCTAGTTCTTGCCTTTGAAATCTAAGGCTAGCATTTCCATCCAAGAAATCAGAGCTACAGCAAATTACATTTTTGTCCCTTGAATGAAAGAAGGATCATTGAATGGATCTCGTGATATTTCAGGCTTTAAACGTAACCGAGAGGCAGCAATGAACAATGCCTCGTCACAGCTAATACCATCCACCGAGTTGGCTTTCTTTTGCATCTGGATCTATTACACTGCGTTTTTCTCTTTCACTTTCACAAGAGGCAAAATGCACAAGGTTTAAGCAGAAAGCGAAGTTTTCAGGAAAAGCAGATGCTCGTGTTTGTTTCTAAAAGTAGAATGACCAGAGTCTTTCTATTGCCAGCAACAATAATGTATTAAAATTCCTTCTGATGCACTTATATAGTACTGCCAGCCCTCTCCCTCCCACCCCCACCCCCGCCCATTCCCCTCCCCCAGCTTTAAGATTTAGACCAAAGAGTCAGCCAAGAAATAGTAAACTCAGAAAAAGCCTTTGAGAAGACAGTACAAAAGGTTGGCTAGAGCATCTTTTTTTTTTTTTTTCCAGGTAGTTTTAGTTGTTCTCCATTCCTGTTTAGATTTTCTCTCTCTCTCTCTCTCTCTTCCCCCTCCCCCAGTCCTCCTACACATAGCAACATGATTTAGTAGCCATTTCAAAACTACCTTCTTTTCCTCTCTCTTCCTCTCTTTCCACCTTTAAAATTATTGGCAATATAGGTAGTTTTGAAAACTAGTAGCTTATTAAGTTTTTTTGTTGTTGTTGTTGTTTAACTAAGGGCAAATCTGTTGGGTGAAATAGAGAAAAATTAAGGCTAGGGGATTTGACTTTGTGCAAGTATCTATATGTACACTCAGACACCTTTACGCTTATACATTTTTAATACTACTATTACACATCTTTCTTCTTAATACATTCTTTTGTTCCTTTAACTTCCCCATCCTTGTGTGTATGTGTGTGTTAGGCTCCAGCACTCTTGCTCGAGTGAGTGCATAGACACACGCACACGCACACATACACACACAAACACAGAATGTGACAGACAGCTTTCTTGTGGCCATCAGCACACGTTGCATATCCGGGGTCTTCTCCAGGCACATTGGGGGTCGATCCCGATAAAAAGATCTAGCAGAGGCCCCTGAGTGCTCACACATGAAAGGCAGGGGACTTTAAGATGGATTTGCATGCACACCGGGGATTTCGATCAATAGCTACCAACATTTATGGCTTAGATTATTAATGCGAAAGCTGGCCAAAAGAATGGGGATGAAAAATTAAAGGTGTCTGTTATCAATTATGCTTAAAGTTATGCAATAATTTACTTACTTTGCCTGATGTGCAGATCCAGATGTATAAAGTACTATTCTTCAAAAGCCAGGGGGTTTCTTTGATAAATTTGTTGACCATGTCAGCTGCCTCTACAATAAAAGATGAACCCAATTCAGATAATGGACTGTATTCAAATTCTTTTTAAGAAAAGATGTATCAACTTCTATGTTTTTCAAATGCATGTACATATGTGGATAGATATGTCCAAATTAACATTTATATCTATATCCTTCTCTGTGGGTCCAGGGAATTATTGTGAATTTAGGCACATGTATAATATGCATTGAGTTTAATTAAATGTGATTATTTACTCAGTGAGGAATGCCTAATCTACACACTATTGTAAAAAGTGCTTTAGCTTTGAAAACAAAGCTGCTTGCAAAAGGAAAATCCTCTTTAGCAAATACAGATTGAAATATATTCCTAATGTTCACTTACTTCTGCATTTATTGTAAAAAATCAGCACTTTCAGTTTTTAAAGTGAAGGGCCATGAAAATATGAACATATTTGTCTTTACTTATCCCATATGAATGTGCTAGATTTACCTTCAGATGCTCTATTTTGATTTATTTTCACTGCATTTTATGTTTAAATACCATTGCAATTCAGTCTGACCTCTTTCCTCTGGAGCGAAGTAATGCACACGGCATTTACAGTCTTTTAAATGGTTAGCTGGGAAATGCAATAGCAATTTGCAGGAGTAGTTTACTAATGGGGAAAGTTCTTTTGAAAACCTGAAGGAAAACCTAAGAGTACTTTTGCATTTCTACACTACAACTGTCATATAATTAAAGTATTGAAGAGCATTAAAATAATCCTTTTCCTTCCAAGCTTTCACCCATACATGCATAATTTAAATGAGGATCACCGCTCCCAACCCTCACCCCCCCCCCCCCCCCCCCCCCCCCCCCGCAACTCTTCACCATATACATTTGTTTTAGTGATTGCTGGGCACATTTTGTTCAAAGTGAATTCAGACAGAAAAGAGTAAGGAACATCACAAAGGCCTCAACAATGTAAGTATGCTGGTTAAAAGAATAAAAGAAGCCCCTTGTGCTGTTAACTAAAAGTAACTATAATATTCACAAGATAAAAGTTTAAAATAATCATAAAGTCTCATATGGCTGAATTAGTTGAGAATATAAGACAATAAAATCTCAACAGTTCTTTAGCTAAGTTTGTCTAATATCACATCTTCTCTGCTTTTTGGGATGGGAAAATGGGAATGGAAGAGTAGAAAATGGCTAAATTGAGAAACAAATGATAACTTAGTATATTTCCCTTAATTTTTTTTCTTTCTGGTTCATTTAAACAAATCAGGGTAAGTTTCCAAAAGGGCCCATCCCTCTGTTCTTAGGCATTTAAAAACCCTGTCTTTAACAGAAGTTTGGGACACAGGGTATATGCCATGTTGTCTACTGACCCATAATCAAAATGCAGTGACCTTCTACCCTTTTTTTGCCCCCTGACCCATCTTGAATTCAATGCAGCCTTTATAAATTTGCAAATCCTTGGAGGTAAAGGGGTTTTTGTGAGGCTTTGTTCTGAAAAAGCCCTAAGAGTGTGCTCTCTAAATTAGACAAAGGTAAAGCAACAAATCCTAGTGGATGAGACTTTACACAGGTGAGCAATAGGCACCTCCAGATAACATATATTGCAAGCTAAAAACCAGTTATATACATAGGAGACAAGGAGGTTATGGATTGCATCAAATTAGAGTGAGGTACAAATCACTTTCATGATGTAAGAAACAGTTAGGCTACAATCTTCCTGCTCTTCTCATCTCAAGGGCTGTGGGGGACCCTAGTGACCAAGGAAGGAATGGGGAGGGTGGGGGGAAGGGGACAGGGAGGAAAAGAAAGAAAGGAGTGAGACTTGATCTGAATCTGCAAGCACATTCCCTTATCTTTCCTGCTATCAGCCAGTTTAAAGGACACCATAATTATGATGGTGATAAAACAATGCCTGCTTATGTGTGCTGAATAAATAAAGAATGTTTACAGCTCAAGAATCTTTTAATTCCAATTAAATGCTATCAAAGAAAAGCCACTTTTCCTACTGCAACCGCCTTTCCCCCCAATTATCTTGTTTTGTTGCAATATTTTCCTATGAGACACAAGGGCCTTTCACAATTCATCCTGAATGCAAAAGAAAAAAAATCAGAGAAAGTAGAGTTTGACCTTCAGATATTAAATAATACACAAATACCCAGAACCACAATTTGTTAGGGTTGCCCAAGTTTTTGTTTATTTTACACAAGGGCCAAACATGTAGAGACTGAAGTGGTGACACCAAGCATTGAGGCCTACCTATGGGCTGCTCAGCCATACTGAAATCCTGAGCCACCACGAGGGGAGAGAGGAGAGACAAGACATGAGGAGCCTGATGGTCTCTGGAAAGGGAATCCTCTTCTGGTTCTGTTCCCCTGGCTTCAGCCCAAATCCTTCTAGGAGCACTGGAGCCAATCACTGTCTTTCACTGCTGCAGCTACTGGGAACCTACAAAAAAGCGGGAGATTAAAAAAAAAGAAAAAAGAAAAATAAACAAAAAAATCACAACTTCGAATTTATGGATATACAAGTATCATTTCATATTCATGACATCAGCAAATCACATCATAATCAGATTTGAGCAAGGTTTGGGCACTAATGCCCAAAAAGCTGGACACTCAACACTGACAGTATCACATATTAATCAGAAAATTCGCTTTTTTATTATGGAATCATAGGGTGAAAATTAAGTCTTTTAACTTTGAAAAGCTTACTTTTCACTTCTGAGGCCAATTTTTACACTAATAAATTTCAAGTAAACGTCTCCTTTAAAGTTGTTCCACAACATTTTAATTCAAACTTCTACTTCCTTTCTCAGTTGCGGTAGTGTTTTGTTTGTTTTAAAAAAAACACATGGCACAACAAACGTTAGGGAAAACGCACTCATTCCGTTAAATGCCGATACAAACCTGCCTTTTACTCCATCTGTCTAAGCAGCGCATTGCTAAGTATAAAGTTAAAAAAATACTTTTCTCAAAGACATATCTATTATTTATTGGCAAATAGTGTTTGGTAATGTGGTGCAAAAACACAATGGTAAAAAATCTCGGGATATTTGTAAGTTTTCTGGAGAGTTGCAGGCCCCTTTCCTTTTGAAAGTTTAGAGCTCCAATATCCTCAATTCTACTGGCAGAATTAGGATGGACTTAGAGGGTCCTAAACGTGACCGATTCACTAAGGCGGGGGTGGGGGGTGGGGGGGGCTACAGCTTGCAGCAACGTGCTCGGCAACTTAATCCTACGCTAAAAGAGGGCAGAGAGCGAAAAAGAATGGAATACAAACTCTCCCGACATCCATAGTTACTTTCAAGGTGGATTGTGTATTTTAAGGCTGATGGGAACGTCTGGTTTTTGGAGCAAAAAGAAGAGAAGGTAAGTGTTTGTCCTTGTATCCACCAGTTCGTAGAGAAACAATGAAAGAACAAAGGGAACCACTTCCCCATCTGAACATTTTCTGTATCTCCCTCTGTTTCAAGCCAAAAAGCTTGGGAAGGGATGCGCTTTACTCTACCTTAAGTAGTGGTTGCTGGCTTGTTGAACTAAGAATGAGAAAAAAGTTGAGAGGCAGATATAGACTAAATAACAATAAAAAAGGCTTGCTGGGGCGGATCTCCACCGCGCCAGTCTCAGCAACTTGCAGAAGTTGCTCAATGCACGGAGGCAAAGCCCAAGGAATACCCTTTGCACACCAGATTTCGAACTCAGTCATTTAAATAGTCTTTCTTGCTGTTTGAAGGGGTTTCTGCGCACAAAACGTGTAGGTAGTGGCTATGGGAGAGATGTACTATCTAGGTCGAAAAATGAGCTCATGGCTATCTGGAAAAGAATTTTTAAAAAGGAAAGGGGATTCAAGTATCACGTTACTGTTTGCTAATAGAAGATATGGCAGCTCTGGCTGGGAAAGGAGAGGGATTCGTACTGAAATGCATTTGCTTTGGGGTACGCTGGTTATCCGCGTTCTGGCTTTGTGGGTCTGCGTGGCTGAATAAGTGACCGAGTGCCTTCGGCATTATATAAATGGATCGATGTGTGGGAGAGTCCCCAAAGCCGTCGAGCACGTGAAACGCGATTTTTTACTGCCCTCCAAGCGGCGACCAAGCCCCGCTCCACCCCAGCCCACCTCAAAATCCGTATATTACCTGCCCTGTTACAGTGACACATGTTTATGTTTATAGCCCTGGTTTGTAGTAGTGTCAAGAGCCGCAGCAAGAGGAGGGGGAGGAGAGAGGAGAGGGAGGAGTAAATTCAACCACCCCCACTTGTTGTTAAAGCAAATTTACTGCGTTATTGCAAGCTCGGGACGGGGGGCTGGGATGAGAGTTGAGAGGAAGGGTTGAGTTGGGAAGTGTGTTGGCGGTGGAAGGAGGGGTGGGGTCAGGAGATCCGCAATGGAGCTCCTCTCCCCAGCAGCCCAGGAAAAGCAGCTCGGTCAATAGGGGAGCATGCTGGCGCGGTTGAAAACAAAAAGGTTCCTCCTGCTCGCTGCGTTCACGTGGGGGGCTCTGCTCGCGGGGCTCCAGGGCCCTGACCTCTGACCCCGGCTCCTCTCCGCGCTCTCCCGGTGCCGCGCGGCCACTTTTTACCCAGGATCCCTCGCGCGGGCCGCGCTCGTGCCGAGCTGGAGTCCTTCCTAATCCTCCATTCCCGGCTCTCCGTCCCCGCCCCCGCCCCCGCCGCCAGCCCCGGGGGAGGATTCTCCGGCGGGGAACCCCCGCCCCACCCCCACCCCGACTGCCCCGGCGGAGTCGGCCGCAGCGAGTCCGCGTGGGGCGGGGAGGGCTGGGCCTCCCCTGCCGCGCCCGGCCTGCGAGGGAGGGGAGGGACGGGGAGCCGAGGGGAGGGGGCGCCGGCCTCCCGGCTCAGCTGCCCCACTGAGGCCTGGACCTGTTGACTGCGATTGGCCCGCCTCATCCCGCGCCCTCTCTCTGCCCGCCGCGGCCCCATCCCTTCCGCGGCGTCGCGGGGAGGAAATGGGAATGGCTGCCCTCCTCTCCGCCTCCAACTTTCCTTTTTTTCTTTGGGTGTAGAGTTGGGGGGGTATGAGAAAGCCCAGGCAACTCCACCGCCGCCCCATCCTGCCTCCAAAAGTCTCGTCACGCCCGACCCGCCGCCGCCCTCCCAGCCCCCACGACTTAAAACCGCCTCCCCTTCTGGCAGCGGCGCCCCGGCCCGGAGCCCGAGAGCCCTCGATGCCCCCGCCGTGCCTCCCCCGCCTGGCCTGGCCCAGCGGCGTCCCCAGCGAATTGTGTCGCTTTTCTGCCCTGGAAGCTCCCTCGGCCACGTTCCACTTTTTTCCCCAGTCCCAGGAGGCGTAAGAGAAAACCTCTGATTTGCTGCGTGCTGCCGGGCACATTCTCTGCCCTCTCGTCCGAAGGCACTGGATGGAGAGTTTAAAATAATAGCATTTACAGGAGGAAATAAAAGAGCGAGGGGATGGTTCTTTGGCCGGTTTTAAGACATACATGCGTTTATTAATTTTTTTAAAGACAAAATGTCTTAAGGGTTAAAAGCGTTCTGGGGTTTGCTGTATTTCCTTCTAGATTTGGGGTTTCCTGAGGAAATCTTTTCCGGAGGGAAAATAGCAAATCAACATTAAGATGGAAGTGAGACTTCTCAGCCACTTTTGGAAATCAAGGGGGAAACTGTAAAAATACATTCAGAAAAGGGCGGGAAGGCGGCGGCTGCGGGGAAGAAGCTGGAGTCTTGGGAAGAAGCGCCGTGGGTCGGTGTCGGGGAAAGGAGGGCCAGCCAGGCCCGGGCGGGGAAGAAGGCGTGCGGGTGGCGGGGCAAGCGTCGGGCCGGGCAGCTGGAGGAAGGCGCGGCGGGACGGGCGAGCGCGTAGAGGAAGGCGGGGAGGGCCTCGGGGGGCGGGGGCCGGTCGCGGGTCTGGCGTGGCGAAGGAAGCGGGACTCGGCTCCTCGCGCCCGCCGGGCCGCCCCCATTGTTCTGCCCTAGCGCCGCCGTTAGCCGAGCGCGTCCTGACCGAGGGAGGGGTCCAGCGGGCCAACCCGACCCCCGCCCGCACCTCCCCGGGCTCCTGAGCTCCGGCCGGGTCGGGTCGGGCCGGCGCGGCAAGTTTTATCGTCAAACTCAGCCAGCAAGGGGGTTCCCAGTTGAAGACCTCGGAGGAAGGAGCCTTAACAGCGTGCTGCGAAATTGAAGGAAGCCGGGCAAGCCTGCAACGCACACGTTATGAGAAAACGGGAAAGCAACGTAGATATGTTTATAAAGTGATAAATAGATAAGAGACACACGTGGGCAGTTGTTCTGGATCCGGAAAGTTACAGTCGATTATATAGTGTTTGAAATATCTTGAAATGTATGGATTCAAAAACCCATTTTTAAAAAAAGCTTCAAAGGAATTCGGAAAAGCACGTTTCGCTATCCTTATTACCGACTACGCAGCTCTTCTTTGTACACAAGAAGTCTAGTTTTAAAAGGAAAGGCTGAGCTAGCTCTTTCAAAAACGGGCTTCCTTTAACGTGAAGTGCGTTTTCAAAATAGGGAATTTCAAAAGGGAAAAACGTTTAAGTTGCTTTTAAGCCACGTTTTGGAAACAAATAATTGCAATCCACTTAATAAACTGTTTTCCTTTGTGAGGCATGTGGAAGAAATATTTCTGGCCAACGTCACAGTTGTTTTTTTTTTAAATGAAGATTTCCAACAAGTGCTTGCGAGTCTTGTCGACAAGACCAAAGTCATCGTGCGTGAAAGGCCAAGAAGAAATAATTTCAATCCTGTGGTCCAAACCTTTGTAGGGCAAGAGAGTAATTTCGACTTAGGTTTATGATAGACTTTGCGGAAATTCCTTCTAAAATACTCATTACTAGTCTGTGTGTTATGAAGCACTGTTTCCCAAGGTAGATTTTAAAAAATCAATTAGAATTGATCTTTAATGGAATATTATATTTACACGTCATCATGAAAACATTTGACAGAGTTTTGAATTACAAGAAAGAAGTTAACAGATGATGCTCATAAATAGCATCTGTTTGAAAAGACCCCTTAAGAGTCAGTTAAAGGTAGTGATGGTTGTATTTTTGCATTTGAAATGCTATAGAAGTTGCTTGCATTTTAACACTTTCATTTTGCGGGTCTTCTTTCCAAACTTGCGTTTCCTCATGGAAATCATTCAGTTATTTCGAGATACAGGGAGAAATTCTTATGTAAGAAATCATTTGAGGCATAACTATGGAAAGGTTTGAACAGAAAAAAAAAATCGGTGTTGAAAATCAAGTATTTTCAATCTATTCATTCGTTTCACACTCATCCTCCCACAGTTCCTCCATCAATTTACATTTTTTATTTATAAGTCTTTGAATATTTAGAATAGCTTTACATGTTTATCTGTTATGTAGTTGATAGTAAAAGGTGAATCGTTTTATATCATTCACTGTTTCAGACATTTTTTGTTTCATTTAAAGTAAAAATATGCTTAGGAGTCATGATATTCTTGTGAGAAAAACAACAAATGGATGGAAAAAGGGCATGAATGGGGGTGGGGATGGAGAGGGACAAGTAGCATTCCTGGTCAGTCTTTGTGATACCTTTCTTTAATTTTATGTCATTATATTTTCCACTTCTGCTTGTACCAACGATCATTGCTTTTTTAATTGGGGTAAAGTGCCACCATATAAAAATTACCTACCTTCTGGCTCTCAAGCGCTGCAGTAAAATAAGGCTGACAAAAAGTGATCCGAGGCTTGTGTGTTTAATTCGCCAGGAATGTTAAGCTTCATAAGATTCACCCTATGGGGTCATGTTGGTCCTTGGCACTGTTACTGTACAGTTTCAAGAGGTAAATATGCACATTATAGATTTAAAAAATCTAAGATGTACTAGACAAACAGTTTATTAATCGAAGGAATAAAAAATGAATTTGTCAACCTCATTCTTTCTGGGACACAATGCACTTAATTAACATATTCTTGGGCTTGTTTCTGGATTTGGTAAGCAGTGGCCCCTTTTGGAGAGGAAAACATTTAAATCTTAAAAAGTGATCTTCTTTGGTCCAAATAGTATTTATAAATTCAGTTTAATTTCTTCTTTTTTTTCAGTCTAAGATATGTTGCATATCTTTCAAGGTTCTCTTCCATTTCAAAAACTGATTTTCCTCTTTTCCACGTCCAGAATCTTTTCACTTAGATAATCTTACGTAGCATATAAACAGACACCTAAATATGTCACTTTAATCACACTTTAATTATAACAGAGATGTAGATCTTCAGTGTCAGTAAAAAATGAGAACATGGACCTTACAATACACACTGTATTGATGATACTCTGAAAAGTCAAAATATAACACCTTTCAGTATTGCTGCATCATGGAAAAAAAAAGTTCAACTCTGAATCGTTACGAGGTTTATGTAACACCTAGAATACCTAAAGGCATCTTTTAGATAGCATTTTTATATTGATAATAACATGGTGTTTTACTCAAAAAATGTAAATACAGCCATTTGATATCAATTTTTATAGCAAAACAAATAGCTCTGAGGCCAAACACAGTTAACCAAACCAAACCTTTTAAATATTAGACCTTGATTCTTAAAAATATTTTTATTTAGATTATACACAATTTAAATTTCAGAATTATCTACCAAACTTTCAGAAAATTAAGTGTATCTAACAACAATATTAATTATAATTGATTCTAAGTTGGAGCCTGTTTTGTAATAAAATGATGACTTTTACATGAAAAGGTGGCAAACATTTGAGGGCTATTTAGAATAGCCAATTCTAAACTATCTAAAAACTGATATTAATTTCAACTACTGAAAATCTTCAGAGAAACCAATTCACCTGAAAATTTTTGTTAATCATTACTTACAAATTTTAGTTCAATTGTACATACAAAATAAAATATTGCTTTACTTTGAAGAATAAAACTCAGAGTGTAATTAGCTTTTAAACACCAATTTAGGACATTAAACAAACATTTACTCTGGACCTACTACGTGCAAGACACTTGCTAGGTGTGATGGTGAGTAAAAAATAATCACCTAGTAAGATTTACAAGTTTTATTAGATTTTTGAAAAAGCTGTTAACAGAATCTCAATTCAAACCTAATTGCAAAGAATATTTTGATATGAAATTTCAAATAGTCCTCCGTGATATAGATGCCATGGTGGTTTTGCATCTATAAAGACACAATACTCATTTATGGTGACATAAATAACAACGCTAGTTTCAGAAACACTTCAGTATATTAATCGTACTAGCATAAATATATGGCTCATAATAAACTTTTAATGTAAAAGGTAAAAACTCTTGGGTACCAAATGAGCAAAAAAAAAACAGAGATTCCTTTATGTAAAAGAGGATATATCTGAAAGTCTGCACAGATCATAAGAGAGTGTCTTTTTGAGTTCTCTAACTAATTTATTTAGAGACAAGATGATAGATTTCAATGAGGTTTAGCAGATGCAGGAATTCTAATTGCTTTTTGTTTAAAAAACTTAGTCGCAGAGCCAATATAGAATTTTACACACTATGGAAGTCAAGAATCTGAGTTCAGGAAAGTGTATCTAGCCTCAGCATTACAGAAGTATACCTCTTATGGATGTAGAAATAGACCTCAGTTTCTACACCCCATTGTAGAAATTTATATACCTTGACAATGGGTACAATAGAATAAATATAATATGCACAAATAGAA